CGAAGTATGGGATCGCCTTACGGGAGATACATAATTGAAGGTCTCACTATTAAAGTAAAGACTGCATTATCTTTGAAACGGTTCTCTACCACTGTTCTGATCACTGAGGTTCATAGAGCTGGTTGGAATTAACCAAGCGACTCTTCCGTCTACTGCATAATTCCAAAGAAATCATGATAAACGTTTTCGTTAAGATGTCACCTAAACAAATAATGGGCTATCGTCATGATAAACTGAAGGCCGGATGATGCCTGATGAATAATATCATGAAATTTATAGGAAATTCCATCTTTTCGTTAGCTGGTTGGACAGAGCAGTAGTATTACATGATCTTATATTCTGAGGTAAGATAAAAATATAGATGTCTTGTATGTAAGATATAGGATACATATCTTATATCTATGTATCTAAGATAGACAGAAATCATGTCCCTCGATTGATTTACCTGACTGACTGAAATAGTGAATGAACGAATGATAACGTTGACCATTGTCAACGTATGTACGTTCTGCCGATGGTCGTTTTTGGTCATCGTCATACTTTTGTTCCCTCTATACAAAAGCGACACCGATGTCATTCCAATGGTTCATCTCATCCATTGAAATTCTCCACGTACGTCGAAATCTTCTTCTAGCCGTGTATCATTTGCTGGGCTCCAGTTCTGGCCATTGTCAAGAAATGACCCTGCGACTCTGCCCCAATCAGAAACAGGCATCTTTACTGTTTTCGAGTTAATATTTTGGATTATCGTTCAGGAATGTAGATCGTTGAGATTATTAAAGTCATTACAGTGTTTAGCATTTTCTCCTGGCGAAAGGTGCATAAGCGTTTAGGTGATCACTGAGTGCAAGGCAGGGTTCCATTACTAATATTAATGAGGCTCGGAATGAAGCTGTAAAGTCGCCTTCAAAGACAGTGGGGCAATTACCAATTAACTGGTTTATAAGGATTATATTTAAAGCTGTTATAAGTTCCTTTTTACACAGGTTCTTCTGTTACCGTTAACGACATTTTCCCGGGCTACACGGAAACCGACATAGGGCGACAGATGAAAAGCAAGGCCATTCGAATCATGACCAAGCCGATCAAATGGTTTGTTCTTCAGAAGCCGGAAAAGGCAGCCAACACGCTGATGTATGTTGCGACGTCCCCTGAATTAGATACTGTTAGTGGGAAGTTTCTGCGTTACGACAGGGCCAGCAAAAAGTGCATGTAAGTACATGACCCTTAGTCGTACTTAATTTAGTCGTTTCTCCGTCCTTTTGTTATAGTAGGTTGCATTGACTATTGCCGTATGCATTTGCCACATATAATGCCAAGTAGTATTTATGTATGCCTCTATGCATAAGTGCATATTTGCATATATGAAAATAGTTCACGCGTTAATAACCATCCTGAGAAATGGCACAGATGCGGTTTATAGGTGCGTAAAGAAATACAGGGGCTATTGGGTGATAGACCGATACAGACGTTTCACACCTCTATTTCACGTGCCCTCTTCAAAGTAAAAGATGTGGAGGTTTTCTGTTCTTGCAGAAGTCGTCTAGAGCAGGGCATTGTTCATGAGGAAAGACGAATCAGCGTTTATGGACATATGTATGTCTTACCTTGAACATGTAAATATATGGATCTCTATTATGAAAGGAGTATTACAAGTACGCGTACATACAGGCATATATAACTCCACCGTTGCCGGTCCCAAGCCCGAATGAGAAAGGAGCACGATTGGAGACCGTGTCGAAATGTCCGTGAAACTTCGCCACCTGTCACTCATGGTATTGACGCAATCGAAAATTATACCGGCTCAGTCGCCCCCCCCCCAAGGTTACCAAGGACCGCGCGGGCTGTTCAGGGAATGATGCAGACTCCGAAAAGTCGGCGATGGGAACCCGCCGGGAACCTAGCACCACAACAATGGCTGATGAAGACCGACGGAACGACGACGATACCAGTCAGCAGCGCTTCTCTTTCTGAAAGGAGGAGGCAGACAGGGCGATGCCTTTATAGCACGTCAGACATGGCTCCGTGAGAACGACACTGCCAGTGGGAGCTTCCAGTCGGAAATTGCAATACATCTTCACTCATAAGGAAAGAGCAAGTCCAACTCGACAGTGTTAGACCATCGTTATCGAAGCGCCAGAGCTGTGGACTCCTGAACCTCAGCGGGTGAAACCTATTTTACTCAGGTGTCGATATCACGACACGCGCTCAGGCTGGGGTTGGTGTTCTGGTAGAACCCAACCTCGCAGAGAGAATCACTGATTGGAAGACTGTCAGCGGAAGGGTGGTAATCCTGCGCCTGGAGCTACGATAGGCTAAAGCGTTGACTTTCGTCCACGTCTGTGCGCCCAATTTTGAGGGAAAATCTGATAACTTCCTTAAAGAAGGGTAGTGTCCTCTGTCTGAAGTGCCGAATAGAGTCCCTTTTATTGATGGGCGATTTTAATGCGCACGTCGTAGTAGACGTTGAAAAGTGGAAGGGCATGATTGGAAAGAATGGCTTTAGCCACCTCAACAATAACGGCATTAAGTTGTTGCGGATTTGTGCAAATGACGGATTGTCCATTATGGACACCTTCTTCGAGCATCGAAAAGTGCATCGGTACACCTGGTACTGGGAAGCTTGTGCACAGGAGTCGATGATCGATTTGATAATCGTATCGTCTGACCTAAGACGCTCAGTAAT